CCCGTCTTCTCGGACTTTTTATTTTATTTTGCTCATAAACCTATCTTCTTTGCGTCTTTTTTTGACCAAGTAGATAAACAAAGTTTCAAATATTCGGGTGAGAGCTTGGTTTTGTTTGACGCTACGATGTAATCGATATTATAATCGAAGCTAAGCAAGGGCACCACGTTTCTTGACATTGACAAGGCGTTTTTTTTTCGGTCTGTGTGGTCGTCTTGGGTGATGCTATTACTCGAGAAAACGGCTTTGACAATTGTATTCTGTATGCAGATGATATCGACGACATAAATAGATACTTACATATACAGATACAACAATGTCCGAGCGTTGATCATAGATTATTATTATCTACACTAGATAAGGCAAAATCCTACGCAGTCAAGCAAAACTCGCCGTTCTCTTTCTCTCTCGGGTGCTTGGTCCTCCCCGGTTCTTACGCCGCCGCACAATCTGCACGCCCCGACGTCGCTTCGATGCGAGGAAGGGAAACCAAGACAAAAAATCGACAGCCAGGGTTGCTTGAAATCCTGAGACAGCGGGGGGTTCTCAACAAAGTGGACTTTTTTTTGCCAAGTTTTGTTCGCCATCCCAAAAGAGAGACTGATGAGAGAGGCTGTTCTGCTCCACCCACCTCGTTTCTTTCCTTTGGTGTTTGAGATTTCATCGCATTCTCCATCAACACTAAGATCTTGAAGAAGGCCTCTAGAAGGAATGGGGAGGAAAAGTTTATTTTATGCGAGAGGAGAAAACTAGCTTTTGCCCCTTTTGGGGGTTGAAGTCCGAACTGGCATACACGTGTATTGCTCAGATGGCATTGGTCCACTGGGGGAAAAGTTTGAAACTATCATGCTTCCTTCTTTCTGTAGTACCGACCAGAGAGGAAAGGGAAGCTGTGAAAGTTTTGGATACAAGGTCTTCTGACCAAGCAGGGTGCATCTACGGGCCGCATGAAGTACCTAGGTAGTCGCCACATTTTTGACGATACTCTAGAAGGTACTCCATGCTAGCCGTCGTCCCATCGTTCGAATCAGTGGGTAGAGGTTTGCAAATTCGCAATCACGAGGAGATTCTTCTACCCTCGTGGGGAATAAGATTAGGGTAAGGTATGCTCATATAGTTATCTTCCCAATTTTATTAATTCTCTAACAGTAGTGGTTGTTTCATAAAACCCGAGAGAGAAGAGAAATTGCGGGAGGGTGTGGTTATATATTATAGCAAGGTTGATCTTATCAATAAGAGAGGTGGCATATAGGGTTACCATTGCATTTCAATGCATTGAAGGAAAACGCCCTTCCTTCAATTTTCTTGTAACGCGGGGTAATAATAATAACAAAAAATGATTTGGTACTTGACTATTTTATGTCATTTTGTAAAGTGGCGCCCGTCAAATCCAAAGTGTTGGGACTATTTCTTAACAGGTCTGTATTATAGGTTTAAACATTACAGTTGAAACCTCTTCTAGGAAGCTTTTCCGAGCAAAAGCAAATTGAATGGAAGGTTTCTCATTTCGTGAAGTTGTATTTTTCACTTTGATCAGTAAATAGAATTTCCTTTTTTTACCAGAGACTAAAACAAATTGAATTGTTGTCGTCGGTGATTGTTAGCTGCTTCAGGGGAAAAACATGCATGTTTAAGGGGGGGGGATAAATGAAAGGAGACTCTTCAAACTGTTCAGTCCTCAATTCCGAGGGAAAGAGAGAGAAAGCGCCGCCGCCGCCACGGTATCACGAGTATGCAGGTGATATAGGCAAGCAAAAGGACCCGAGAGGGAGGTTTGGTGTATCATTGGGATTCCCAGTTGTATGTCGATCACTTTCAAGCTGTTTCGAAGATCAAACGCGGCATATCCCAGAGAGGAGGTGCGTGTAAACACTCCGAATTGAGACTGGTAAATCCTTTCTCTCTGCTGCAAGTCATCACTCATTCAGGGCGCTTACACCATTGTGTGTGTGACTTGTTGGAATACGAAAACTTTTCCTCAAGTCATCACAAACGCATCACAGAGGCGAGAGCAGGCCCATGATCCATTTGCCGGGGCATACTGCTTGAATCCTTTCAAGTGACGTGACTGATGGACGCCGGCATCGCACGGAGTACAATTGCACTCCTTCCTCGCCTACGAGCCGGTCCGGGTGCCGCTTCCGCGCCGTATCGCGGCATTTTATCAGCCATTTTGCTCTTCGGAATGATTACCAACACTTGTTCGGGGTTCTGTGAAGACTTTGTCTGGGGCACAGAAAAGGGGAGAACTCCTTCCTGCTAGACACCATCTTTTGAATCCTGAGGGTTTCCGACCATGATCACGGGTGATGTTTGATGATGGAGTGCTTGTGAGACATTAGAGATACTTTTGAGTGACATGTCGATTTGTATCTGGGGCTGTAAGACGGCACTCGTTGCGGCTTGCGCTAGAATGGAATGCTCGTGTGCGTGTAAGAATTCGGCTGATATTTTTGAAGCTTCAAGACAGATGAAAAAAATTAATGAAAAACACAAATATGAAAAGATAAATTCTGAATTTCTGCATCAATTGCCAAATTAGGCTTCGCATGCATGCTAAATCACGTGTTTGCTACCCGTTCGTAAGACCGTCGACAAAGTAGGAAGGCGTGAGGAATGTTTTAGATGGCAATATCGAATCAAGTAAAAAAATTCTAAATGCGGGGTTTTCTTCGGCTCGTAAGAAGCACTTTGACTGCTCCAAATACAGCAAATATACAAACCATCATCACCCAACGTCGTTTCTTTGCCAAGATGCGGGACCCAAACACCCTCTCCAACTACGATGGCTGGCGCACCAAGCACACAACCACAAACCTCAAGGTCGACTTCGCCGGCAAACGTCTGCACGGCAATGTGATCCTTGAGCTCGAGTCACAGACCGACAGAGCTAGCAAGGAAATCATCCTCGACTCGAGCTACCTTGACATTTCCTCCATCAAGGTCAACTCGGCATCCTCAAAGTGGGAGGTCAAGGACCGCGATGGCGCCAACGGCTCCCCCGTCCATGTCGCAGTCCCAGAGGGCGCCGCCAAGGGAGAGGTTGTCAAGGTGAATATTGAAGTTGCCACCACTGACAAGTGCACCGCTTTGCAGTGGTTGACCCCCGCTCAGACGAGCAACAAGAAGGCCCCCTTTATGTTCTCCCAGTGCCAGGCAATCCATGCTCGTTCCATCTTCCCTTGCCAGGATACTCCAGACATCAAGAGCACATACGACTTCAACATTACTTCCCCTCATGTCGTTGTCGCCAGTGGTGTCGAGATCCCAGGCTCGCCAGAGACTGTGGGAGAGGACAAGATCTACAGGTTCCAGCAAAAGGTTCCCATTCCTTCATACCTCTATGCCTTGTCATCCGGAGATATTGTAACTGCCCCTATCGGCAAGCGCTCCGTGGTGGCTACCGGCCCGAACGAGCTGAAGGCGTCCCAATGGGAGCTCGAGTCTGACATGGACAACTTTTTGGACGCTGCTGAGAAAATTGTTTTCCCTTACCGTTGGGGACAATACAACGTACTTGTCCTCCCTCCCTCTTTTCCATACGGAGGTAAGTCTTTTTTTTGGGCATATTTGGCCGGCCTGTTGACTAAGCATCACCCATTTTTGTAGGCATGGAGAACCCAATCTTCACCTTTGCAACTCCCACCATCATCAGCGGTGACAAGCAGAATATTGATGTCATCGCCCATGAGCTTGCACACAGCTGGAGCGGCAACCTTGTCACTTCTGCCAGTTGGGAGCACTTTTGGTTGAACGAGGGCTGGACTATGTATCTTGAGCGTCGTATCAACGCTTCTATTCATGGAAGTGATGCTCATTTTGACTTTTCTGCCATCAGAGGCTGGAAGGCGCTCGGTAAGTTGACACAAAATCAAGTTTTTAAAAATATCTACTAATCCATGACAACAGAGGAGTCGATTGAGGAATATGGCAAAGATCACGAGTTTACCAAGCTCTGCATCAGCCACAAAGGCATCGACCCAGACGATGCCTTCAGCACTGTTCCGTATGAGAAGGGCTTCCACTTCATCTATTACCTTGACAGGCTCGTCGGGCGCGACAACTTTGACAAGTTCATCCCGTACTACTTTAACAAGTGGGCTACTAAATCTCTTGACTCTTTTGAGTTTAGAGACACATTCCTCGAGTTTTTCAGCGCCCCAGAGTTTGCCAGCTTGAAGGACAAGATTGCTGAAATTGATTGGGAGGGACGCTTTTACAGCACCGGTCTCCCTCCCAAGCCCGAGTTTGACACCTCGTTGGTTGACGCGTGCTACGAGTTGGCTGAGAAGTGGAAGCAAGAGGATTTCAAGCCTAGCCCTTCTGACACGGCTTCTTGGACTGGTAATCAAGTCCTTGTTTTCTTGAACACTGTTCAAGACTTTGAGAAGCCCCTGACGGTTGAACAGTCGGTATGTTTACTCTCCTCTGACACACACAAGTACACATGCAAATTCGCTGACACGATATTTTTTTCTTAGCAATCCTTGGGCAAGATTTATGGTCTCTCAACCTCCAAGAACGCAGAGCTCAAGTCTGCTTATTACCATATCGCCATGAAGGCCAAGGACACGAGCGCGTACCAGGGCGTTGCAGATCTGCTCGGAGAGGTCGGTCGGATGAAGTTTGTTCGTCCGCTGTTCCGGGGCTTGAACAAGGTGGACCGGGAGTTGGCGCTGAAGACTTTTGAGAAGAACCGCGAGTTTTATCATCCTATTTGCCGGCAGATGGTTGAGAAGGATCTTGGGTGTGGTAAGTGAGGTCAAGGCTGCTGCTTAAGTCTTCTTTGATGGATATTAGATCAATAAACAAGAGATAGTCAATACACTCATTGGTTACTCTGATTTTTATCTATTTAGTATTACCTTTTCTTTCTTTCTTTTTATTTGGGTTTTTAGAAGGGTTATGCAAATTAAAAATCACTTAAGCTAGGATGAGAGAGAAAGAGGCTATTTCAATACTTTTGGTGGTTCATCTTGCATCACACAAGAACATAAAAAGGGCGGTTGGTCTAGTGGTATGATTCTCGCTTAGGGTTCACTCTAAACACACATATATGCGAGAGGTCCCGGGTTCAATCCCCGGATCGCCCCTTTCTCTTTTCGTTTTTTTCCCCTCCAAATTCATTCACAATGGCAAAGAGATGGAAAGAACTTTTGCCCTTTTCCTGTTTTTATCTCTGTTGTGGTGGTGGAGGCAGGCTGGTGAATGGCATTCTTCGGGATTACTTTGCAACTTTGAACCGAAACGGGAACGTTATCTCGTATCTTTTGAACAAAGAGAGGAAAGGAAAGGAATGAAGAAGGAATTACATACGAATGACGTTGAAATTAATACGGGGGATTGCTTATATTGCTATTTTTTCGATTTCGTTCAGAAAACAGTGCAAGTTGGTCAGTATATCTGAGGCGCCGGATCCGTATTTTTACAAGTGAGACTATCAACGGTTGTCGGTTGTCGGCGGCAGAACTCAACGGTGCTTTCGAGAAGAAATTATCAAAGGTAAGCATCGTGATAGAAGTCATGCTCTAAACTGACTGAATTGAGAAATATTGACATGGTCATCATGCACCTTTGCCTTTTTCTGGATTGTCCCTTATCGCATCACATTCTTCATCCACACCGCCAACCCCCAATCATCATCATCATTCTCTCGAAAAAGGACGGATGGGGGAACACGATAAATCACACCCGATGGCGCAAAGCCAACTCCGAGAAAAAAAGAAGGGTTCCTGCATGGAGGCACTCTCTGCACAACCTTTTTCAGCTCTCAACATGTTCCCGCCTCATCTTTTTTCTCAACGAAAAAAAAGGACGAAAAAAAATCCAGAATCTTCCACCTGATTTTTTGCTGATATGGAAAAGGGTTCTTACTCAGAACATTCAAATATCTATCATTTTGTGACGGGACGTACCGTATCTGAACATTTTGTCCGGAAACGGGGGGGGACGTGAATGTTCGAATACGAGGTTTTTAACATGCAAGGTTATCGACAAACCGCCAACCACCAACCACCACACACACATCACTCAGGTACCGAGAGATCGGGAGAGAGTCACACCCACTTTCACCCATACGTTAACTTGCTTTTCTTTATCAGAATCTGCCAAGTGACGTGACATCTACACGATGTCAACATACCGTACCGAAAGCGGATATCCCGAAGTGTAACTACTTCTGTGCATAGTTACCATAAACGGTATAATTGAAAAAGCGCCCCGAATCAATAGTTTGTCCTTTCGGTTGTCTGTATATCTGACATGCAGGATTGCAGTTCGTGTTTTTTTTGTTGTCTGTTGGTTCGGGAGGGATTTTTATCTATTGAAGAGGCAAGTAAGTATCTATGTATCTGTCTGACACGAGGTTGTGATGTGGTGGTGGTGGTGGTGTAGGTTCGTCGTCGTAAAAAAGAAACGTTTGCGGGATGAGGATGGCAAATGCAACCAGGGTCCTGTCATGGTTTTGGTTCCTGCTTTTCGTAGGTGTGATGGGATCTTTCTTTGTCAAAATTCCCTTTCGGGTTCAACTATTTGGGACGAGACTAAGATCCTCCGCGGAAAATTGACCGAGTTGACAATAAATGTATATATCCCCTCATCCTGAATCTTCGGTCCCCCTTTCCATTCCCTCTCCTTTCTCTCAGTCTGCCCGTCAGTTCCCCTCGCTCGCTCGACTTAAGGACTCTTTTTGCCAGTAAACATAATAAAACAACCAAACCCCTACACTCGCTCTTAACAAACCCCCATCGCTTGATATATCCTCCTCCCAAAAAAATGAAACCTCTCACTCTCTTCCCCCTCTTCCTATCCCTAGCGATAGCCCACGACGACTACGAAAACGACTATGACCACGAATCCAAATCCCATGGCTCTTCTTCTCTTCCCGAACTAATCAACGGCACCTGGATCTGTCCCTCTTCCACTCCAAACGGAGTCTACTGCGCCGGTACCTCCCTCGAAACAGACATCATCATCCGCTGCACAAACGGAATAGGTCAACCAGGCAGATGCGGTAACAACCTCGTCGGCCAACCGCCCGTTGGTAACATCGGTATCGCTCGTTGCTGGTCCACTCCTTCAAACAATGGAACAGCCGCGTGTGAGAAGAATTGTATCGTCTATGCTTCGTCTGGCAATTTGGCTTCAGATCTTACTCTTTCTGATTGTCAACCTTTGTATCCGCCTTTGCCTCCTCCTACTTCCACTACTACTTCGACAGAGGATTGTGAAACTACTACTACTACCCCTACTTATACCACCACCGAAGACTGTGAAGAAACCACCACAACAATCTACACAAAACCACCATATACTTACACCAAGAAACCACATTATAACACCACCACCACAGTCACTTATCCTCCTTATCCAACAGGAACAGTCACAGTAACAACAATAACAGGCTCAGTTTATACCAAAACTCACAAGACAAAAACTACATTGACTGTTATTACGACCGAAACATTCCCTCCTCCTCCCCCTACGAATGTGCCCGTTGGTCCTACTACCACTGCTGCTGCCACAACTGGTGTTTCGCCGCCTCCTCCTGTTGTTGGTGGTGCTTCTGTTATGAAAGGAAATAGTATTGGAGGTTTGGTCTTTGTGATGGTTTTGATTGGTGTTTTCTTTTAATCTCTAATCTCTAATTTATTGTTCGATTCGATACGATCATTTTTTTTATATATTTTTTTTTTACTTTTTATTAGGAAAGAGGCGTCATATCGCGGCGGGGGAAAACAATCATTAAGAGAGCATAATGTTATGAAAAACGACGGAGCGATCCTTGACGAATATTTAGACACACGAAATCAGTCCTTACGATTATTTTAGACACAAAAACGGTCCTTATGAAATGGTATGGAATGACGCATTAAAGGGAATTTTTTAGCATGGGCATTTGGGATATCAAGGAGGTTATTTTTACTTATTAGTTTAGTTTAGTAGTGTTAATTCTCTGGGAACGGGATATAATTTTCGTTTTTCCTTATTTCATAATTCTAATAGCCGTTTGATGTTAAAAAGGCTTCCAAATCCCGTTAGTATCCATTTCATATTTTTTCCCAGCCCATGACATGATGAATGCCCCCCTTCCTCACAAACCCACCCGAACCCAATGAAATAGCTCCCCTCTCAACGTTTTAATCAACCTCCTCAACCTCCTCCTCACCCTCAACCCCAACCTCAACCTCCTCCCCCCACCACCCCCTAAACATCTCCAACCTCTCCGTCCTCTCCCTAGCCATCATCCTCCCAATCCCAGTCTTCATCATATCCTCCAACAACACCAATTTTTCATCCAAATGTCCCATCGTCTCCTCTAGTGTTCTCCCACCCTTTGCTCCACCAAACGTAAACATCCTACCTATCCCCACAGCACCAATAGCATCTAATCTATCCGCATCCTGAACCACCGCTAATTCCGGATACTTTTCAATCAATCTCTTGACTCTTTCCGGATCCTTTATCTCAGAAGAATAAGAAACCCCCAAACAAATCTCTTGGATTTTTGACGCGAGGTCAGACGGACAATCAAAGGAGGTTAGGAGGGAGGAGATTAAAGTCGAGGGGTCTTGGTTTGGTAAAAGGTATTTCTTATCGCCTACGTCGTGAAGTAAGGCGGAAAGGTGAATGACGCGTAGGTCTAGGGAGAATTTGTTTGGGGAATGGGTGTAGATGTGATGAGAGAGGTTTACGACGCGGGTTATGTGGTGGATGTCGTGGGAGGCGTCGTAGTTTTTCATGTAGTGGGTGATGTAGGATTTGACTTTTTGGATTAGGGGGTCGGAGGTGAAGGTGTTCATTTTGGCGGGTCTTAATTTGGATTGATTGATGGTGATTGTGAGGGGGTGAAGTTGAGAGTGTTGATTATGATGGTGAGTTGGAGGTTGAATTTGAGGGGGTTTAAAAAGGCATGAAACCTTTTTCTCAGGTTGTTTAAACTGATAAAAATCACTTGTACTTCCTTCCTGTTTGGTTGTCGGCCAGTGAGTCATGGTCAAAAACTGTGGGGCGGTAGAATAGGCAAACAGGCAGCAAAGGTGGGTTCATTGATGATCAACACACTCAAATGAGGGGATTCATAATCAACGACAGCACTTATCAAGATCTGAGTACATAATCTAACAGTAGGTTATGTCATCGGAAGATCCCCAACTCGGATCTCACGTGAGTAACATTGAAAATGATCCGTACGGACCGGGAGATAGGTTGCCTGTAGAATACCATCGCTATCACTCAAACCCGCATGGCATAACCGCTGTTGCCTTCAATGGCCCCAACCTCCGAGTCTGCCTCTCCAGTTTTTTAATTCTCGGTGACGCAAGACCGAGAAGATGTGATAAGCTTTTCTCTCACCGGCGGTAAAGTGGATCACAATTGTCAAGAATTCGGTCCAAACACGGAAGATAAGATGCCATCGGCGCCTATTTTACGCACGGGCTTGACCATTGGGATGATGGAGCCTTCCATTGCATGCTGTAGACTTGCATGCCAATATCACATTGGAGCTGATCAATGAGAGATCGGATGAAGAGGAATCCCCTCTTTCGATGTATCCACCATGTCATCGTTTATCCCGCTTGCTCGCGCTTGTGTCGACTTCCAGGCGAGGTGGGATGGTTTACAACGGGTAATTGTTGCTGGATGTTGCTCATTCACACACCCGAAAGAACAGGGCTCCCCACTTCCCTCGGGACTGCAACATTGCGGCGAGTATTGAAAATGCCGAAGTGGCCGTTTTGGGCGGCCAAAAGCCGTTGATTCTCAAAGTCAATCCTTTGATGCACGTCTCAGCTGAGGATAACCGCATCCTTCATCTTCCAATTGGATTGCGTAACTGCTTGATGATGGAGATACAACCGTCGCATCGTCAAAGTGAAAATAAAGCTCCGGCTTCTAATAACTATTGACCCAATCCGCGGCCACGATCTCCACCTACTTGACAGCCACTTATACCTAGTGCTACGCCGAGATGGTGCAGGTAGCCTGCATGCAGAGAGGTCTTGTGGTTACTGCAGGTCGGAGGGGACGGGACCTGCTCATCATGTCTTGTATCTGAACATCATATCAGAGGGATTTGTGAATGATATCAATC